ACTCGTTCTTGGTGACGTTCAGGACCATTACTAGAGTAGATTCGGCCTCTACTAGGGTCACTATAATCATAGTGCCACACCTTTCGAGGATCACCCAGCGAACCATTGGGCATTTCCGAATTAAAGGCCTTACCCTGCACATACCCAGCCCCTTGCTCTGTAGTTGCCTTAGACCCACCACCAGAACCAACGGGGTTGAAGGAAAAGGTCGGACTCTCCTGCTCGTACAAAGGCATACCATAATCAGAGGTAGCATTCGGCGCCACAGGAAGACCTTGGTCATGACTGCTACGACCTACATCACGACCAATAGGCTCTCCATTACCATTCAAGCTAAAGGCAGAGCCAGTACGTTTTCTCAACGTAACATGCCTATCATAAGGACTCCTCAAGTCGTTATTACTACCAATAACCTGTTGAGCTCCTACACGATCAGGACTTAAATCAAAAGCTTGAGCACCCTGCACCGTCTTCACAGTAGGCCTTCCCATATTCGTCAATTTGAGATCAATAGCCTCAAGACGACGATCAAACCTAGAAGTCACTTCATTGTGTTGACGGTCGCGATCGTCCAAGCAAATCTTCACAGCATTAAAGTTATCATTAGTAGCAGTCCTCAACTCCTCTATAGAGTTATAAACCTTCTCGTCTAACGCACCCACCGAGGTAGATAATTCTTTACGTAGGCAGGCATTCTCAACATCGATAGACTCCTTATGCTTATCAATCACGTTTATCAGAGTCGAGTGAGCAGCACTGTTTTCTTGCCGCATCCTCTGAAATTCAGAGGCCAAGAATTCAGTAAACTGGCCACCTTTCTCCTCAGAACCAACAATACTCTCAACAGCTTTGTTAGCAGAATCATAATCAAAGCCCGATGAGACCAGACCCTTAGAGGAGAGACCACCCTCTTTACCAGTACTACCCGCATCCTCCGGCAAATCACCATCCAAAGGTGGTGATTCCTTTGGTGCATCATCATCTTCTTCTCGAGGCTCATTAAGGACATCATAAGAAGCCTGCAATCCCGTGGACATAGCTTGAGGCTCTTCTACATACGGGGTTCCAAATACTTTGCGATACACGTTCAAGAAAAGGCCCTTCTCTACTGAGTTTAATACACATTTATCATTCTCATAGACATAAGCAGCCATTTCTTGAATAGATCCACCCGGATTAGGAATATTCCGTATAGTAACAATAGCTTCAAGTTGAGTCCTCCCAAGATTAGCCAATAACATAGGGCTCCAGCAAGGAGCTGCTACCATTTGTTGGGAGCCGTTCTGGGCCTCCATGTCAATGTTCTCAATGTCACGAGAAGATACACTCATCCCACTAGATTAACACAACCAATCGATAATACCAATTAATACTAATGGATAGGTAATAATCAACCCACCAAGCCTTGGGTTGCAACGATAGTACTTCACGTAAGGATGGTCCAACCAGTAAGGACCACAAACCAATAAAAGAACTCTTAATCTTATCTACACTTCACATACAAGCTCTAGCTTACTTAGCTTGAATGTCTACGATCACACAGAGCAAACACTACCGCGCACGCCCTAAAATCAAGTGCTCAGTTTGCTCACAACAGTGATTCACTACTAGGTTGGCTGCTAACGCAACGATACGGGTCATATCATATGACGACAGCATCGTGCTATGGTGTTTAATGCAAACACAAAACGATGATTTATCGTAGTCTAACAGTTAGACTCTAACTCATACACTGCATGCATGCAATGCAGTTCAACTGTCTCTCCTTGTAAGAACTTTGTGCTAGTTCGGGCATGTTTGACATTTCACGCTTGGTTTGTGATAGAAACGCTGGCCAGATTCGGGCCTTGTGGTGGAACCATTGAATTCGAGACAGCATGATTATGCGCAGTAGACAAAGTTGATCGATTCACCCATATAGCTAACGGCCTTCATTCGCGTCAGCCAACGCGAGGCCCCTCTTTACTCGGCCTACTGATTCCCTTTATCGCGTTCCCAAGTCAGAACTGAGGAAAGACGTCTACATGGTGCCCAGACCCCTCAAGGAGCTTCGGTGTCCCCAAGGAACGCTTTGGACGTTAACAATCATCTGAGGGCGATGTTTGTCAACGACCCCGAGGGCGGCGATCAGCATATTTCGAGTAGCCCCTCAAGGACCCCTCGCCATCGTCATGGCCTCAGGGTTGAGGATCATCCTCCCCAAGACCTTCCTCAGCATCCTCGACGAACTTGATAACTTAGTTCATCGGCTCAGTGGCGGCCAGAAGCATCTGCGAGATGTCGTAATCCAATGTAATCACGACGCTCACCAAGGCGCAATCAGCGCCTGTCGTGATCGGCTGCCTGGGGTCAGGAATAGTACTAATTATAAACAGAACACGACAACTGACTGATGTTCCTGGTTCTTAGCACGCTGTTACTTCCACTTAGTGAAGAATGTGAAGGATAACAAGAAGAAACTCGGTGAGCCGGAAGTGCAGAAGCTGGTGAGCTCATTGAGTGACTGCACCAGTTCATAACAGGAACTTTACTTATGTTGCAGAGTTCCGAATATCCATAGGTCTTGGATCATGTATTCGCGTTACATGCTTCACCGACCGACGCCATTTACAATCGGCTAGCGGGAGCTCTGACGGACAAAGTGAGGGAATCATCAACAGCTGGCGCGGAATATCTCGAGACGACCCTTAATGCCGACCGTCTCGGGTATCCGAACATTCATTTGGATAGCGATGGATTAAGGGGGACACAAGTAAATCGTCGCTTAGTTCAATTGCAGGCACTGAATCATAGGTACTCACGAATATCGTGGAAACTTTTCACAAAACCATAACTTATAGTTTAAATCGGAAGAAGTTTGTCATATCGAAGTTCGTGAGGAAAATAAAGAGTGTAAGTCAGCTGAATCATCATGAGTTACGCTGAACTGGTGGGGGATATTTCAATTTCCCCCAGGTTCTGAAAACAGCTCCCAAGTTTGCATCGGGGAACTTCATCACTCGGTCCGAAGCAATCGACGTCGTGGACTATGAGCCCGACATGAAAGTGCGAGGGACGACGATGGCTGAAAATCACAGCTTCACTGAGGTACTGACATCATGTCATACGGTATGACTCATACCATGAGAATATTGGGAATGAATACGATGCCTCCACGGGCTTAGCCGATACTCGGACTGTTGCCGGAACGCAACGCTTTTCAGGTAACAGAGCTTGTAGAAGAGCTTCTGGACTCTAGAGACCCCAGTACTCGATACTTCATTTTTCCTACCGTCGGCGTGCTGGGGAGGAATCGGAACCGAGAGGAGCACACTGTCACCGATTTTTTACGGACGCTACTGCATGACGATTTTGGTATGATCGGAATATGTATCAGTGGGATCGATTGACAACACAATTGCGGATTGATATATGATTGGATAACGACATGTAAATTAATTTCAGGCAGTGACCACTCAGGAAAGTTACCACTGGACGAGCTGATGGATCGTTGCTTCCCTTACTATCTCACGACATTTCATGAAACCGTGGACGAAGGGAGAACCTTCAATGACCCAGAAAGGGATTGTAATTCAACAGTATGTGCCTGTACCTGTAAAGAAAGTCGGGATTGGATTTACTGTCAACACGGGTACTGTGTGGAAATAATTTTAAACGGCAAACCTCTGTAAGTTTGGCTTCGCGTCCGCGTAATGCGGATCCAATTCCATAGGTATCCCCGAGACGGTCGTTTGCTGCCGACAGTCCGAACAGGACCTCCTTCCCGCTACCGAGGAAGACTACACGTTTCGAACACACCGCGGCCCCCAAAAACTGCAAGTACTACAGCCAGCGATATCGATCGTGTCAATGATTGGGATTGTTTCTGAAGCCGTCGTCACCGTCATTACTTAGGACTTTCTGCAGCAGGCAAGGGAAAAGTGCCGTCAAATCCTCACATGGATGTCAATAGCTGTTGGAGTGAAGCAGAAGCGAGTTCGGAGAAGGGTGAACGCCACAGTACCATAAGCGAGGTATCCCTGCCTAGCCGACATGAGACGAACCGTTCGTACTCTTGCTCTCGGCCCGAGGAAAAGAATTTAGAGTAGCAATGCCACCATGGGAGCGTATGGAGTGAAGCCATTGCTGGAGGATCAGCAGTCTGCGAGTACAGCGTCTGCACTAGCCCGATAGATAAGTGGTCGGTTGCAGAATCTGGGGTGTCCGTGAACTCAGAATCTCATACTTCGGAAAGTTCTGCCACTGTTCATGCTGCATCGGTCACTGACAAAATTTCAATTGCGTGCACCTCGACCTCGAAGTCCTCGAGCATAGAGAGCGGTAGCGTGGATCAGAATGGATCGGGAGGGATGTCGAACGTAACGTTATCCCTTTCGTCGGTTTCGTCATCGAGCTGCTGATAAGTAGCGGAAGCAGTGCCCGATTCATGCGCACACTCTAAGAGGAGCCGATAGCTCCCCTCAGGGTGAAGTCACAATCACCTGCATGTTCTCAAGCTTTAAAACTGTACAATTAGGTTTCATCATGCCGTGTGGTGGTTTGCGTTGTCTCTGAGTGAGAACGTGATTTCCGTGATCACCCTTGGGGAACGAGTACCGCAAGGAGTCGAAGAAGCCTAGAAGAGCGGCCCGGTTTATTCGTGAAGTTCTTTGAAGGCTTGAGATGATTTAGAAGCAATCACCAAGTTAGAGTGAAATACCCAAGAATACCAATCCCTCTGCTCAGAAACAAGGGGAACAAGCATATCCCGAAATAGCACGGCGCTACTTGATTATCAACTTTGCACAAGATTATACGCTAAGTACTGAGTTAGACCAAATACGCGCAACCCCCTGCCGCAGCCTACTGCTCAGAGTGTCGATCCGAGTGTTACCGCGGCTGCCTTTGGAGCTCGTCCATTACAGCCGAAAGACAACAGTGATGTTCAGGCATGTGTGAATCCACCCGTTTCCGCAAGTGACTATTCAATTAGCGGGGGAGAAATAGGTTTCAAGGCTCCAAAGTTGGCCTTATATAGCGGCGAAAAGACCGCTGACGCGATGTCGCTCGACGAGTGGCAGGCGCGCTGGTGTTCAATAGCCAGATCTAAGAAGTGGACCCCAAAAGAGAGAAGGTCCAATCTAATCAATAGTCTGACAGGTAAAGGTTATCGACTATTGTCTAAACAAAGCTTCGATCCTTCTTTGGATGACGAAGCCGTTGAGCGTGAAATTTCAAGTTTGGCTCCGCCTCCACCGATCATTCGGTCAGGGGGAGAAACAGAGCTTTAAGAAGTTGCTTGCCATGCAATTTAGCATTGGCAAAGACACTGTTGATTGTTACGGAGCCGATACCCGACACCACACAGTGCTGGCATTCAAGGATCTTGACTCTAAAAGTTATGAAAAAGTTGCGGCGACTTTCTACTGGAATAGTCTGCCACAGACTCAAGCTGTCAAGCAAAGCTATGGCATGTGGTCGGCCTTGGCTCCCAAGGAACGAACTTTGCCTAAAGCCATTGATCTCACTCGTCCACTTTTTGAAGTGGAGGATGCCGGCACTTCCACTCAAGCACCGGGCCAGAAGGAGTTGGGTGCTGTCGCATCGGTTCCTGCCAAGGGTCAATATTCGTATGGTGGAAAGAAAGGCAGCAAGGGCTCCAAGGGATGGTCTTCCAATTGGTCTCCTAGTAAAGGAACCAACTATAGAAAGGGAAAAGAGAAGACTAAGGGACGAGGCAAAGCTATGAGAGGAAGTTCTCCGTATACGTGGTTCTGTGGCTGGTCAAATCAACAGCAATGTTATGTGTGCGGAGGCTATGGCCATTGGGCCAGTGACACTGGCCCAGTGTATGCCCGTCCCGAAAGATCACAGATGACAGGCAAGAGCCCAATAAAGTAAGCGCCCCTAGCCTTGCTTCGAGTGTATTACTTATAGTTCTTAAGGGACTATACATCCTGATTGATTCTGGTTGTTCCATTACCATCCTGTCATCCACTTCAGGCTTGAGTGGCAGCACTCACGCTAGTGCTGGTCGTACAAAGTCGATCAATACTATATTTCAAAAGTCTTATCAATATCAACTCTTGACCAACATCAGTCTTCCCAGCGATTTTCAATGGCAGACGACTGTGGTGTCACGGGAGGTCTTACTCACAGACCAACCGTTAGTTGCTGTATGCCGGCAACATAGCAATAATGAACCGTCGGATAGAATCATTTTGGCCGGGATTCTCGGCTTAGATTGGATAAAAGCAATTGGCAGTATACTCAGCAGCTGCGAAATCAGCGACCATGCCCTGGTAAAGGTCACATTTATAATGTATGTATGAATAACAAGTTCGGCCGAAATTACCAAAATATGGATTAAAGTCTGCAACAGTACTTGTTTAGTACTGAACAGGTGAGCAATTGCGAATCGGTGAGGAGACCGGGGCTGTCGAGTCGACGGTTTTACTGAAAAACGACCGCATGCCATTGCAATTTATGTGATCGGAAATGTGGAGTTGTCACTCTTGATGCACATCGTGGAGCACTTCGATCCTCCGCTGTTTTGGAAACGCGACGATTCCAACATGAAATCTATGGATTTGAGAGTCTCAAATTGAGACGTGGCCCTCCTCACGTGTTGAGTGCAATGTCTATTAACTCTCCCGAGTGGCATAACAACTCTGTTTATCTCTCCGCTAGTGATTTGCCCATTGAGATAATACTACACTAGATATAAATTATATCATATAATAGCAGGGGAACGCCTCACGAGGCTGTCTGATTATACTCAATCCAAGAAGGCTTTCTTCATCCGAAGGAGACACATTGTGTGCTACGGGGGTTGGGAGAGCGATAATGATGATTCACCAGTATATCCCTCAGTTGATGATGCCGTACTTAAGGCACCATGCTCGTTGATATACCAACACTGAACGCCGACAGATTGTCAGCAAAACAATTGTCCAATTTCGCAGCGACTAGCACGCCTGTTATCATCAAGGGTCTTCGGATGCCTCATATCGATCTTCTTGCGATACTTCAACTCGAAGCAAGTATGTATTGACGTGTATAGTAGTCGTCTCAGCGATTCACTCAGTAGGCAACAAGACAATTTCGGTCGCTCCACTTCAAGCGAACAAGACTGACAAATGGTTGGAACAGATGCGAGATTGGGTTCCCTGCCCAGTGGAAACTGGTGCCGTCGTATTTGCTGTTTCGGGACGAAGAATGAGGATTTCCCTTTCTGACTTTATTGCTAACATCGATCGCTTTTATGCTGACGGCGCTGGCAATGGTTCTAAGTCTTGGAAATTCCTGGCTGACTACATAGGCCGTCGCTGCGATGTGGGGAAAATAGACGCTATGCTTGACGGCCCGTTGGAGAGACACATTTGGCTTGGCCCTTCTTCGACTGTTAGTCGGCTGCATTATGATGCTGTTGATACGCTTTTCTGCCAAGTAGAAGGACGGAAAAAGTTCAGGATTTTAAGACGTTGCAAAAGTCCATGTCCTTGTGCTTTAAGACGGCTTCTAAAGACGGCTTTAAGAGGTCCTTGTGCTGAGGCTGTCTCCTTGTGCGCGCGATGTGTGGTGAATAATCCAATGCAAAGCACCTCGCTCATCGCATTTCCGCCCACTCGTCGTACTCGACAAACCCGCCCTTAGGCCATGAAATGATCCCGCCATGAAATGATGGCGCGAGGTCCCGATGGGGAGTGGAGCCATGGTCTCGATGGAGAGTGGAGCCATGGTCTCGGCCATGAGCAGATCCACAATCATCCAACTCATCAAGGAACCTGCTTTACCCACTCAGAAAGAAAAATACAGCGATACAAGCGGACCAACAACTACACAGACTTATATGGTATCATTATTATATGGTATGGTAGCAATCAAGCCGAGTTTTGTCTTACGATAAGCATGTGCGCATGCGTGCCAAGCTGGATGGAGGCGCACGCGTCCCAAGCTGGATGGAGGTGCATGCGTGCATTGCAATTTGCAACACAGAGCAAGCCTTGTTATAGAGCGCGAGTCACCACCCTTCGTCCACATCATTATGTTAGCGCTCGAGGCTGGATAACTATCAAGGGAGCTTGTAAGTATCCGAGGAAGCTTGTAAGCATTCGAGGAAGCTCGCCAGCCGACGATTCTTGCGGCGTGTGCGGCAGTGTTCAAGTCGCAGAAGGCGCTTACTGAGTGTTTTCCAAGGATATCATGTGTCCACCCTTCGAGGATGCTCGTTTCATGGCATCGAGCGTAACCGTTGATGATTCGCGAGGGGTTCTGTGCCCCACGGGAGTCTTTCCGACGCGGTCCAGCATCCCTCGGTGTAATGGATCACGCCTATTAGAGTTCGTTTATTGGACGGGTGCCACGCTTGCCTCGCATGTAGGCTAATGCACGAAGTTGTTGCAGGATCGCTGATGATTGCTCGGTGAGTCTGATGAGCTTTTCTGATAGTTATTTTCCGCACATTCACATGCGAAATACCTCTCTCATCTGCGTTGTGGCGGCCCTTTTGATGGCCTCGTTTAGTGGTTGTTCGAATAATGGTGGTGGGACAACTACAACAGCCCAGCCTGCGAGCAGTACCCCTGCCCCTGGCAGCACTACAACGGGTCCATCGACTGCCCCTGGCAGCTCTACAACGGGTCCGACGACTGCTCCAGGGCCGACCACATCCACGACTACCGCCGCTCCTGGCAGCACTACAACGGGCGCGTTATCGACCACCACAGGGTCGGCCACGACAAGTACCACAACCCCGACTCCCCATGGGTATTCTTGCCCGTCAACCAACTGCTCATCGAATGGCGACTACTGCAAGAACGTTGCTAAAGGCAAAGGGGCCTGCCACCTACATATTCACCAACCTTGCTATTGTGATATCACGGCCGGACCAGATCCTGGAAAGCGAGATTGTAGATCTCCTGACTGTGATAGGTTCGGGGACTACTGCCAGAACTTCGAATATGGTCGAGGTCATTGCCATCGGAATGCTACTAAGGACTGCACTTGCCCGCCAATCACGAGCACGACCACTTCAAGCACTACCGGTCCTACGAGCCCGTCTCCTACCACTCCATCTCCTGGCAGCACTACAACGGGTCCATCGACTGCCCCTGGCAGCACTACAACGGGTCCATCGACTGCCCCTGGCAGCACTACAACGGGTCCGACGACTGCTCCAGGGCCGACCACATCCACGACTACCGCCGCTCCTTGCAGCACTACAACGGGTCCATCGACTGCCCCTGGCAGCACTACAACGGGTCCGACGACTGCTCCAGGGCCGACCACATCCACGACTACCGCCGCTCCTTGCAGCACTACAACGGGTCCATCGACTGCCCCTGGCAGCACTACAACGGGTCCGACGACTGCTCCAGGGCCGACCACATCCACGACTACCGCCGCTCCTTGCAGCACTACAACGGGCGCGTTATCGACCACCACAGGGTCGGCCCCGACAAGTACCACAACCCCGACTCCCCATGGGCATTCTTGCCTGTCAACCAATTGCTCATCGGCTGGCGACTACTGCAAGAACGTTGCTAAAGGCAAAGGGGCCTGCCACCTACATATTCACCAACCTTGCTATTGTGATATCACGGCCGGACCAGATCCTGGAAAGCGAGATTGTAGATCTCCTGACTGTGACAGTCGCGGGGACTACTGCCAGAACTTCGAATATGGTCGAGGTCATTGCCATCTGAATACTACTAAGGACTGCACTTGCCCGCCAATCACAAGGACGACCACTTCAAGCACTACCGGCCCTACGAGCCCGTCTCCTACCACTCCATCTTGTGCAAGTCCATCTCCTACCAATCCCTCTCCTTCCAGTTAAACATCTACCAGTCCGTGGCTTGGGTGTATTTGTGCGAGGCTGTTATGACCTATGCAGTCATTGACACTACGACAAGTTCACCCGCCGCAAATATCCTGATTATCGTTTAACAGCCTTCATCGACTAGGTAGTCGATAGACGGGTCAGCTCTGTGGAAGTAGATCATATATTTGACCATTTCGATCCAGCTGGGGGCACAGCTGAAAAATTGCCATATTATTTCGAAGCAGGGTATATTGTCTTTGTTATCAAAAATGTTATCATTCTGTCGGTCGAGCTCCTCAAGTCTTGGCTGTTTTAGAGACTCACCTTATATCCCCCGAGGCCTGAAGATAGGTGAAAGTTTCACTCTTTTTTCACTAAGAGAACTACGGTATACTCGATTAGAATCCAATTGCGACGGGTCTAGCCTGGCTGGACTAGCTATGTCACCGTCGCCTGACAATAACTGCCTTGTGTTGAACAGTCTCGACCATGGGAAAGTGGAGATATAGGTCGAAATCGTGAAAATCAGTCGCATGTTCGTTCGTCATGAAAGATCTGTCTTGTGGAGGAGTCAGCTATTTGGTGAACTACACCTTTTCAATCTCAAATTCAGCAAATGTAAGAACAAGTTAGAGAAAAATGAAAGTTGATTTTAGTCGGATGAAAGGAGTTTTTCACCGAATGGAAGCTCAAATTCGAAATGAAAGTTCGGTTTTCGTAGACCACTCAAAAATGAAAGTTCAAATTCGTAAATGAAATTTATAAATTCGGAAACACAAGTCGAAGTTCGTCAAACACAAGACCAATTTCGACCAATGAAAGCTCATTTTCATCACGTTTTGAATGCACTACACGCACTTGCACCATCTCGATATGCCCTATTCACACTCCATGAAGGTCCATTTATGGGGCTAGTTCAAGGACGAATGTATTGAGATTTACTGTTAGATGGGAACGAGCTCAGAGACCTCCTCGTGGTGTTCCTGGAAACTCAACTATAATGTTTTATTGTTGAGGCTAACATCTGAGCTGCTCAGACTGAGCATTCGATTGTTTTCTCTCTGTTTCCTTGTACAATTTGTTATTGCTTTGTTGGTTTGCTTCTCGTTTTGTCACGTCTCTAAATCCTTGTTATTTCAGTCCAACTGAATGGGTCCGATTATGGTATTGGTCCGACATACATATGTATGGTAAGTTATGCACATGTATGTTCTGTTAACTGTTCATTTGAAGTTGCCTTGTGTTGCGGTAATGGTTGGTTAGTCACCTGTTTGGTGCACTAATGGATGTGTCCCCGTGTTGGGGGAGTTTGCTCGGTGTTGAACGAGTATGCGGTCGACAGTTGTCGGAATCCATGTGTGGTTGGATGGTCGATCCCTAATTAGGGGTGAATGTGTTGTGTGGTGGATAAAGGGTACCATTGTCAAGTCGGTCGATTCGGGTGGTGCGACGCTAGATTTGTGTAAACTACTATCTTTTCGCGTACTAAGTAATCGTGATGACTCTTAATCACATACATGTTTATCATAAGTGTTATTATTCTTTCGCATTACTGCTCGTTTATTCTGTTTGATTCATCTTCATGGCGATTTCGAGTTCCAGCCGCCTCTGAGTGGCGTTATGCTTGAATTGCCCTCGTATTTTGTTTATCCTTTGTCTTTAGGTTCCTTTTCTTTTGTTTTAAAATTAGGATGAACCGTTGTTGATGTCGACGTTTTCAACTGCTCCAGATCTGCCTGGGACCATAGTTGAGACATTAGCTCAACCACCCTTCTCGGTTAACTCTTTGGTAACGTTGAAGGCAGCGGTTGATGATGCCGAGTTGTTGGGAGGAATGGTAGTTGCTTGTGCTGTCGCTATGGGTGCTGTATTGGATAATGATGCCGAACAGCCTCAGGCTGATATTATCGCTGTGAGACTGAGAAGAGCAAGACTCAGAGCTGCGTTGATTGCCGCTGCTTCTCAAAAAGAGGTTGTGGTAAAGGCTAAGTTCTCTGTGGATGCGATACTCGTGTCAGCTGCACAGTTATTTGGTTGTTTACCCAATAATGAACTGGTTCCTCTTCCGCATGTTGCGGAGGTCTTGTCTCGAGATAGATATTTATTAATTGAATTTAAGACTTATCCTGAGATCACCGCGGCGGCCAGCAAGTCTGTTATACAGTTTACTCTAGATGGTCAAGCTGTGGAGACTGCGAAACTTCCCACGGGGAAACCTCCTAATACCTTTGAGCAATGACTTCCATTGATCATCAATGATTGATGTTGCGGTGGGTCTTCACTATATATGTTCTTGAGGGTAAGGGTGACTTGATACATGCCTGTGAGTAATACTCAATGAGTATGCTGCGAGGGTTGCTTCGATATCAAATAAACACGGTTTTTGTAAAGCACAGTTGTTCGATCGACGTTATCGTCAGCGAATGATGTTATGCATGAGACTGTTGCAATCTCCCCTGAACAGGTTCATGATGAGGTCAAGATGGAAGATCTTCAGGCATTCTCTATCTTTCTGGCTAAGAAGCTAGAGCCTCTAGAGCATTCTCTAGAGTCTTGCAGAGGTGTGTTCGGATGCTTCCCCGATGTTGGGGAAACCGAATGCACCTGGGGCGAGAAATATGTCAAAAGTGGTGTGGGAAGGTACATGCAGGTTTACCAAAGAAGACTGCCCATATAAAGATTGCAAATTTGCTGAGCAGTCACCGCCTACTACTCAGCGAAGGGATGCTAATATGGATAAAAGAGCTATTAACAATCAGGGGCAGGTCCCGAGAGATAATATGGCAACTAAACGATAGCCGGTTGTGATGTATGCCCGATACTTAATAGTATTAAGTTAATACGGGTATCTTGTGTGAGGTTGGAGGTTTGTTTCTGTGAGTGTTCTTTTAACTAGGATATAATCCGATGTTAGTAGTTGATACTTCGGTGTGTGTCGAATGGGAAACGGATTTCCCGTCATCAACAGAATATAATTTGAAAGTAGTTTGTTGCGTTTGTTTGTTGTGTTGAATAAGTGTTGAAATATTTGCATCAAAGTAGATGTTCTCCAAGTCTGCTGAGTGGGCTTCTCATCGAGCTAGGGCGGAAACGGAAGAGGGGAGAAAGAATCGCCTTGATTTCCTAGAGCTTTATATATCAGCAGAAACAAAAAAAAGGTTATGAATCTGCGTATAAATAATATAAATCCATGGGAATGGAATTCCCATTGCCTGGTTTGAAGTTACGTTTGTGGGGGTTTAGTGGAATCAATAAATTTGCAGTACACAACAATATCGAAATACACATCGGGATTGAAGACACTCAACCAATTACATGGTTTCGGTGATATTTCGACATCGGATGGAAAGCTGGTAGCTCGGACGTTGCAATCGGCGCGTAAGATAAAACCTCAGATGAAAAAGAGGCAAGCTCCGTCGATACCGGAAAAGTAGCGGAAAGTTTGTTCAAATTACCGGTTGGTGTGTTAAGAACGGTGGAACTTGAACAAACCAAGGATGCTATCCTAATGGGCATTTCATTAGCTCTACGACCTGGAGAGTTATTGGAAACTCGAGCAAAGGATATCAAAGTTATTGATGGTGCATCTAAAGGATCGATAGATATGACTATAGAGATTGAGGTTGGGTGTTACCAAGATGGGTTCCTCTGAGACTATATTGCGTGATTGTGTACATGTTAAGGACCAGCGTATGCATAGAGGTCCTCTATTAGAGGATCATGTTGTGTGGTGCACCGTATGACAAAGATTGTTGTAAGTGTACCAGCATGCTTGAGAATATTTGATAAGATCTATTAGAAGTTGCCGACGAATGCTCAGAAGTTGCCGACAACTTGGTATGGAACTGTCGAAGCGTTTTGATTTCTCCAAGCAAGAAATTGACGATATGATGAAGTTTACAGGTCATAGTTGTCGGCGTTCGAGTGCAACACATGCTGAGGACATTTACTTGATGTCGGAAACTTGATGAACTGGTTTGGGCGGTTTATTGGGAGGGCTTCTAGATTATCTCCATTCGAGTGGTTTCACAACACCCTAGTTTTTTGACCTTCGTGGTTGACCTGGTGTTATAACTAGGATGTTGTATATAGGAGATAAAGTTTAGAAGCGCCACGAGTTTGATAAACCAGTGGCAACCACCCAAACCTCCATATTACTGAACACAATATAGGTGGTTACAGTAAATCCATAAATAAGGAGTTGAACGAGTTGACAACTCGCACAATGTGCGAAGACTGCTCGAGGTACTTCTCAAATGTGAACAGTTATTGCACTGAGTGATATTCACGGGTAGTTCTCAGGAACGTTGGGTCACATCGGTCCGTCTGACCGTCGGTCCGCGACCGATGTAACCCGTCGAAACCCGAACTTTTCGTAGAGGGTTGGTCCGGTTCGGTATTCGGTATTCGATCAAAGTTCGGTTCGGCGGTCAGGAAATCGAACCGAACATGTGCTGACCCCATCGTCCTTCCGATATCATCGGAAGGGTAATGGAGATTCTCCATCCGAGAATCAAACCCAAACAATCTCCCGGCTCGAATCTCTGAAAATCCTTCATTGCGAATTTGCGGATTGGGCTGTACTGTTAGCATTACGGTGCA